GATGGCAGCAAATCGGTGAAGGTATGAAATTAAAAAGACAGTTATGCGAAAATGAGACACCGAGTCAATAATTACAGCGACAAATATTTCTTTCGTTTCCTTGAGAAAAACATTTTTTGTTTTTTTTTAAACAAACCACAGAAACTAGGAATTTTGTTGGGAGTTGGGAATCGGAGATTGTATTCATTTCCAACTTCATAGAGCACGTCGTAAAATAGAATGAATGAAAAAATCGTTTGCCATTTACTTCAAAACCAAAATGGGTAAGACTTAAAAGAAGGAGAGATAATTGTTTAATCCGGTCAACACTGCGAAATGCAGACTAAATTTGAAGATGGAAAAATCACATCTTTTTAATTTCCTAAAGCCGAGGAAACCTTTACAAAACTCATTGAGGTACTGATTCTATTATTGTTAGATAACTACATTTAATACACGTCTCCCTGCCTCTGTTATTCTATTTCGTGGAGACTCTATGAAGTCATGCATACTTCTTTAACCTATCAATTTTTTTTTTTAAAGTCTGTCAGAGATGCTGTAATGTGGTTAAACGCATTTGGTGCCTCAACTCACCATGTATACTTTGGAACGGACAAGTCGAACGTTGCCGATGCATCACGGAACTCCGCCGAGTACAAGGAGAAGATCACTGCTGATGGCAACGTGTATTACTTGAAGGAAAATCTTTCTTCCAGGTCTACCTATTACTGGCGAGTAGATGCTGAATTGGACGAGAAAACTATTTACAAGGGAGACGTTTGGTCTTTTCAAACCAAGTAGACCAAGATGATGATGAAAAATGCGAAGAGAAAAAATAGTAGCTAGATGATTCACTGTTCTCAAAGCATGCAGAAATAAACTCCAACCTGTTGATTATAGATTGAACAAAATATCGCCAATAAAGCGTCATGATCAAGTCTTCTTTGTGTTCCGTGGTTTATGCAAGGCAATTCACCCATTAAGGAAAAAATTTTCTTTCCCGTATTTAATTAAGGAACAAGTTGTTCTAAGCTTATGTTTTTTCATCTCTAAATTATGGAACCACCATGCATTGCTAACATTGCAAGAGCGAGCCAGAGTCTCCTTGCAAATTTATCAGGTTTGTGATCAGATCATGATCTTAACTGTCTCTTGTTCAGAATTCCGAAGTTTTTTTACTTCAAGCCAACACAAAAGTGAGGTAATGAAGAATATGAAAGCTTGATATGCATAAAGCTTGTGATCTTGTTTTCTTATGGAGTCTACTAAATTTTACAAGGTTTTGAACGTATATGGCTCTGCACTTGCTTCAGTCTGGAATCCACAAATGCGCTACGCATGCTCATAAAATTCTTCTCAACACCCAACTCATGTCACGCAGTGTCACGCAAGTGAGGTGAAGTATATTTGCTAGAATTCGAAGGACCTAAATTTTTCGACTGAAAGGTCGGGTTCAAAATAACAGCCGGCTGCTGGCGGCAGCCGGTGTCACGGCGGATTTGGATCCCCGTTCGCAGATTTGGACCCCTACCAAACTTTCCTTTTAAGCATCATTTGTATCAAATTTGGTAACAAATTCTAATTGCAAGCTTTTTGTCGATGTTCTTTTCAATCACAACACAAAATTCCTCAATAAAGGTAAAGAAAAACAGTCATTTCGTTCCAATTCTGCCGCTTTTATTATAGCGAGTCGTACAGTAAACGCAAGAATTAGATGCAAAATAATTACTGCATTCGAACTATTGAAATTGTTACAATAAATCTTTTCTTCTTCTGCTGCGAATCACCATTATCAACATTGATACGAAACGTCATAACAATAGTGGAGACTATTGCGTCTAGTCACAAAAATAACTCAGCCTGATTTTCTAATTAAATAACATTAAACAGTTTCTGAACAAGAACGAAGTAACTACTCCTAATACAAGTCGTTCGTAAAGCCTATGAAAAGTAAAAATGTTTCCATTCTGAACTATTGGAACTATCAGCTTATTTTCAGATGTAAATCAACATTAATGTCTACGTCTTCACAAAAGTGGAGAATATTACATCGAACTCAATTTTGTTTTCTAATTGTAACGATTATTAACTGTTGAGGGATCCGAAGTAACACTTTAACAATTACGAAGACGTCTAGAGTCTGGCGGTCTGCAGACAATGCAGAGCTACTCGCTCCCTCCGGGGCAGTCTTAAATCCCTCGCAGCTTATGTGTAACCATTCCTCGCACAACTCGCACTGTACCATGTCGTCCAAACACTCAGACATTGAACCATAAAGAAAAAAATTGGTGTTACAAGTTTGTTTCTTATTGAATCTAGCGGTGTTCGGCTATCGCGGAAAAGATTCCAAAACGACCTTTCTCCAAACATTAAACTAAGTACTTGCGCATTTTCCTTTGGTCAAAAGAAACATCCGACGGGTCATTTCCAGCTGCCGGTTCGTATGCATTGGCGATACGCATGTTTCGGATTAAAAACATACTTTAGTACGCACTGGGACGTAAAGTGTTATCTATTTCTACTAGAACGTTAAGGATAATGTTTTCACTCAGTCATGAGTTGAAATTTGGATCCCCCGGTCGATATCTGTTAGCGGATTTGGACCGGGGGGTACAAATCCGCTAGGACACTGGAACTTTTTTAAAAGTGTTAAAACACACTTGCCAGCGATTTGTCACCGAAGAACCAGAATTTTATAGAAAATATCATGCCTGTTGATCGTCCAACTGAAGTAAAAGTCGCTGTCATGTAATAGTGAACATTTCATATCGGGCAATAAAGCAGCCAAGAAATGTTTTAAAAGCGTTTTGGAAACGTAAACAAATGTAGAGTTTCGAAATTTGGAGCGTGATACAGGGAGTGTTTTCAGTTTTCTATGTATTTGTTAAAGCGTGAACTACGTTCTCCATCCTAAACTTGTAATTGCCTCCACAACTGCGAACAAAGTGTTTGGATACACCATATTGTTAAAGAGTTCAGGAAGTGATGAAAGTATGCGATTTGCGGTCTTTACGGTAATGATGGCAATCAGCTTGCCACCATGCATTGCACCATTCAACTGAAAAACTGAAAGTTTCTTTCTTTTTTTTGTCGTTACTAACGAAAATATCTGGGGCATCTCGCTATTTTGTAATGAACAGAGGAAGGAAATCGGCCTTTGGCCGTTTCATTTGGAAGTTTCGCCAACTTTAACAGGTCTCCTTTCATTTGATAGTTGTTTGCGTAAATGAAATTATTTTGATTATAGTTAGGTAGGGGTAGCTTCAATTATTCATGAAAGACTTCTCAAAGCCGGAAACATTGGCAGAATATTGAAACAGAGATGGGTTGTTGACTTGAATGCATCATAGTTAAGAATAGACTGAGGCTGGAACAATATTTAAAGTGAAATAACCCTGCAGAGACTAAAAAGAGAAGCTTCCGCTCAGGATCATAGAAAATGAAAACATGGGATGTGGGGTAAAAAAGTGAAACTTCGAGGAAGATTTAAAACAGATCATTTCAAGAGCATATTCTATTTCGTGTGCCGTCACTTTTGGCAGGTGAACTTGTGGACAAGATGTCCTCTGTCTTCTTTTCATTTTTACTGACAGGTGATACGTTTATTTTGAACTGTAACTAAGCTATCAATTAATTTTCCACACTTATATCCGCTGCTCTATTTTATAGGTTGCCTGATACAAAATTTTGTGACTGGAAACGTTGGTAAGCTGCTTTAACTCATTGAGATAAATTTATCTTGATCTTCTGCTTTATTATGGGAGTAATTATCTTAGGACTTGTCAAGATACATTTATTGATAGTATGTACTGTTATTACTATCAGCAAAAGAGCTTAAGATCTTTTTTCACTAACTTATTGGTTTGACGGTCGTTTCTCTCAGTGCGATGATACATGCATGTACTTTCCCTGTTCAAGTTAGATGTGGTGCAATGCCACGTTATATGAACTAATAGGCTAGGTTTTAAAGTTGATTTGGTTTTGTCAACTGAATTGATGATGTAAGCTGGCCAACGTAATTTCTAAATCTCACATTTTGAGCGTTAGCCCTTCGTTAGAGCGAGGGGTTTCAAGGTGATCCATTTTCAAAACATACCTCCAAGGAAAGCGTAGAGGCCAAACAATTTTTAGGGCTACTCCGAAACCAACACTATTTAAAAAACCGCAGACCTCGCATTTGGTTACTACAGTTTGGCTGCAATTATGTGAAAAAGTAATATTTTTTTCCTCTAAAAATAATTATATTTCAAGCAAAATTAGTATAACAATCGTTAAACCTCTCTAGGTATACATAATTTCTTAGGCAGCATTTCCCTTCGACTAAGCAAGGAAAAACTCCCCAATTCATTCGTGTTTTCAAAGCATACTCTTCCTTATTGAAACCACAATTTCTTTCAATTTAATTTAATTGTCTATCGGTATCCTCTGAGGTGCCTCTCCCTTGTAGAAACTAAAATTACGAACAGACTTATTACCATGGAATTACTTTTTTTCATGTGACAGTTCGATTAGTTGATGGGGACAACCCATTTGAAGGGCGGGTTGAAGTGTTTCATAATGGTTCCTGGGGAACAGTTTGTGATGACGATTGGACACTTAAGGAAGCCAACGTGGTTTGTCGCCAACTAGGGCTGGATGGAGCCTCTTCAGCGGTCGAGGGTGGACGTTTTGGGAAAGGAAGTGGAAAGATATGGATGGCTCGGGTTAAATGTTTTGGAAATGAAAGAAGATTATCAGATTGTTATTTTCCTGGGTGGGAAATACACAGTTGTATGCATTATGAAGATGCAGGAGTAATTTGTATGCAAGGTAATAAAAAATATGCTTTATACTAAAAGTTTGTTTTCGTGTTGCCATTTTGGTGACTTTTTCTGTCTTTAATTGTTTTGTTTTGTTTCGTTTCTTTTACAATTATATTACGTATCCATGATTTCCTGGATTGAAGAGAAGCCTTACAGCCCCATTTAGTAATCTTTCATTGGCATTCTTTTGACGCTAAATTCAGTGCTATTTTAACCATGTTTGCATTATTCTTCACGTCGTGAACTGATTTTTCCTACAATCACAAAATAGCTCGTCCTAGTTCATGGGAAAACATTTGGAAATTACATTTACCAGGCCTGCTGTAGCATTCTCCAAACCTTAGGAAACTTTGTATTAAGACAGCAAACTAAGGTCTAATTTGAAGTTGTCACTGAACCAAATATGATTGATGCTTTTACTCTTTGGTTGTGTGGATCAGCTTTTGCTGGCAAATCGACGAGGTTTTGTTCGGTTGTTTTTCTCAAAATTAGCGGGGAGAGAGTTATTAATTTAATTCATGCATCGACTCATGCAATAATTAGTTAACAGTTTATACATTTGAGGGATTAACAGTTGGTGTGAGGATCATCGACATCGACCAACCTATCCAAGATTATTTATCGCCTTGTCACGGCAAGTTCTTCCATAGCCAGTCACAATATCTTGCCGTTTGCTTCTCTTGTCGCTCAGTAACGCAAAACAATATTCCTTCCGCCTCATTACCTCCACATAGAAACTAAAATCACAAATTAACTCTGGTAGTATCTTATCCTTTCCATTTGACAGTTCGACTAACTGGTGGAAGTAACCCATTTGAAGGGAGGGTTGAAGTGTTTCACAATGGCTCCTGGGGAACAGTGTGTGATGACCAGTGGACAATTGAGGATGCTAACGTGGTTTGTCGCCAACTTGATTTCGAGGGTGCTTTGAAAGCAGTCGCGTCTGCTCATTTTGGTGAAGGAACTGGAAATATATGGATGGGTGACGTGAATTGTGTTGGAAATGAAAGAATATTGACAGAATGTAAACATCAGGGATGGGGAAAACACAATTGTGGCCATAGTAAGGACGCAGGTGCAATATGCATCATACCAGGTAAACAGGAAATGCCCATGCTGAAAATTTTTCTCACTATTGCCACTGGCCCTCCCTGGTTCTTCCTTTTTATCAGAAAGAACATTTCGCAATAAAAGACTGCATCGTTTTATCTTCTTTTGGTAATAACGATTAGACTAAGATAATGATTAGAATTAGACTAAGGCAAGCCTAAAAACTGAGTCCCACTTAGTCAAACTGTGGAGCTTTTTTCAATTTTTGGATGGTTATCCACTGATCAAATCAACCAACCCATCGATGAAAAATTCTTCTCGACGTCAAAGCAAATTTATCCTCGGTCAGTCACAATAGGGATGCAGCATATCCCCCTCAGCACTTCTCTTCGTCTGAGCGAGGAGAATATCGCGAAAAACCCCTTCGCACCACCATTCTTCTATAGAAACTAAATTAGCGAACGTACTAACTATAGTCTAATTACTTTTATCATGTGACAGTTCGATTAGCTGGTGGAAGTAACCCATCTGAAGGGAGGGTCGAAGTATTTCACAGTAGTTCCTGGGGAACTGTGTGTGATGACTATTGGACAATTAAGGAAGCCAACGTGGTTTGCCGACAGTTGGGTTTCGCGGGTGGAGCTTTGTCCGCGATCACTTCTGCAGGTTTTGGTCAAGGACCTGGAAAAATATGGATGGATAACGTTGATTGTGATGGAAATGAAAGGAGATTAAAACTGTGCTATCATGCTGGTTGGGGACAATATAAGTGTGACCATGTTGATGTTGCAGGCGTTTTATGTATCCCAGGTAACTGCAAAGTACCCTAATGTCGTTGCAATTGATTAGAATCCCATCTAGGTATGAGTGGTAATACTCCTAGTTGCTTCTTGTTAATGAAGCCGGGATAAACTCTGGCTGGGAGATCCACTTGTCTCGAGTATAGACTTAACCCTTTTTCTCTACCCATCACCTCCCAATAGAAATTGTAGTCACAAACTAATTAAGGATAGTCAATTACCTTTCTTTTGTGACTGTTCGATCTAATATTTCCTTGCCCTAATTTGTTCGTGTTTTCAAAGCATATTCCTTCTCAATCAAACCACAATTTCTCTCAGTTTCCATTGCTTGTCTATCGGTATCCTCTGAGTTACCACTCCCTTTTAGAAACTAAAATTACGAGCAGACTAATCATAATCGATTTTTTTTTTCATGTGACAGTTCGATTAGCTGGTGGGGGCAACCCATTTGAAGGGCGGGTTGAAGTGTTTCATAACGGTTCCTGGGGAACTGTTTGTGATAACCGTTGGACACTTAGGGAAGCCAACGTGGTTTGTCGCCAACTAGGGCTGGATGGAGCCTCTTCAGCGGTCGAGGGTGGAGTTTTTGGGGAAGGAAGTGGTAAGATATGGATGGATCAGGTTGAATGTTTTGGAAATGAAAGAAGATTATCAGATTGCTCTTATCCTGAGTGGGAAATACACGACTGTAGCCATTTCGAAGACTCAGGAGTAATTTGTATGCAAGGTAATAAAAATATGCTGCATACTAAAAGTTTGTTTTTAAGTTGCCATTTTGCTGACTTTTTCTGTCTTTAATTGTTTTGTTTTTTACACTAATATTACGTATTGACGATTGCCCAGATTGAAGGGAAGCCTTACAGCTCAGTTAGTAATCTTTTATTGGCATTCTTCTGACTCTAAATTCGGGGCTATTTTGACCAGGTTTACATTACTCTTTACATCGTGGACTGATTTTGTCTACAATCACGAAGATTATGTGAACTGAGAAAGAAAAGCTTATCCTATTCCATTACAAAGGACCCGGAAATTACACTAACTTGGCCTCACTGTAGCATTCTCCAAACCTTAGGAAACTTTGTATTAATACAGCAAACTAAGGTCTAATTTGAAGTCTTCATCGAACCAAATACGTTTAATTTGATGCTTTTAATCTTTGGCTGTGTGGATCAGCTTTTCCTGGCAAATCGACGACGAGGTTTCAGTTGTTCGGTTATTTTTCTAAAAATTAGCGGGAAGAAAGCTATAAGTCTAATTCATGCATCGACTAATGCGATAATTAGTTGACAGTTTATACATTTGAGGGATTAACAGCTGGTTCAATTGATGTGATGGTCATCCACATCAACCAACCTATCCAAGATTATTTAACCCCTTGTGGCAAGTTCTTCCTCAGCCAGCCCCAATATCTCACCGTTTACCTCATGCAATAATTAGTTAACAGTTTATACATTTGAGGGATGAGGGATAACAGTTGGTGTGAGGATCATCGACATCGACCAACCTATCCAAGATTATTTATCGCCTTGTCACGGCAAGTTCTTCCATAGCCAGTCACAATATCTTGCCGTTTGCTTCTCTTGTCGCTCAGTAACGCAAAACAATATTCCTTCCGCCTCATCACCTCCTTCTAGAAACTAAAATCACAAATTAACTCATGATGGTATCTTATCCTTCCCGTCTGACAGTTCGACTAATTGGTGGAAGCAACCCATTTGAAGGAAGGGTTGAAGTGTTTCACAATGGCTCCTGGGGAACAGTGTGTGATGACCAATGGACAATTGAGGATGCTAACGTGGTTTGCCGCCAACTTAATTTCGAGGGTGCTTTGAAAGCAGTCACGTCTGCACGTTTTGGTGAAGGAACTGGAAATATATGGATGGATGACGTGAATTGTGTTGGAAATGAAAGAAAATTGACAGAATGTAAACATCAGGGATGGGGAAAACATAATTGTGGTCATAGTAAGGACGCAGGTGCAATATGTATCATACCAGGTAAACAAAAAATGCCCATGCTGAAAATTTTTCTTAGTGTTGCTACTGGTTTTCCCTAATTCTTCCTTTTTATCTTACTAGTGTTTGTACGAGAGGACCGGGCAGGCGTGACACATGCCATTTCACCCATTTCTTTCAAACTTTCACAGTTCATGAGGGTCACTAAGTTATATTTATTCAAGAATCCATAGTAGTTCGGGCTCCCGGCTTATTCTTGGGGCATTCGAGCCCCCACATCAATTCCCTGGGGTAAAAGGCTAAAATTAGATCGAAAAATGCTCTTCCAACGAATCTTTCCCGTACGTATAGAATGCGATGGATTTTAATCTCAATATGTCCACTGGTTTTTTGGACGCAAGGAAACAATTCCTTAAAGTTGGGGTAATTTAATATAGCATCTGTCAATTCCTTCCAAATAAGGAAAAAGTTAGAGTTTTTAATTGCAAATATCTCCAATGGGCAACAAACATACCCTTACAGGAAAGAGCTATCTTAACACTAGGTTTGTGGGTAAAAAAATTTTTTGGCCTCTGTAAAAGATTTGTGATCACGTCCCTCTGAAATACGTCACCTCTGACGTTAATTTATGTCATAAACTGATGTTTATTCACTTATTTTCAATATGAGAATGGGATCGCGGACTCCAGTTTTTGCGGTACTGATGTCTAAAAACAACAGATTTATAGCTGCCAAGCCAAGGAGTCACTTATTATAGAAATTCTGTAACGCTGACATAACCTATTGGAAAGAAATGATTGGTAAATGTATTTATGCATCATATATGTATTTATATATCAAACACTAAACATTACCGAGTTGAGTAATGGACGTCAGCAGCTGACAGCAACGTTTGCCATATGTAATTTACAAAAATGAAACACTTAATTTTACTCATTATAATTTTACCAAGGGCGCTATATATATTTTTTCCCCTGTGGGAAACTTTGGAGAAGACTCCATCCAGTTTTAGGTACATTATGGGACAGATGTTCCTTTTACTTTTAACCTTACTTCAATAAAAAACAAAACAAAAAGAGGAAAATAAAAGCTGAGTTCTGACGGATGACGTTGGCTTCTAAGATGTAAAAGATCTATCAAGATTCCGATTTCTGTAGAATAAGGTGGTGAGAGGTTTTTGAAAGTGTTATTTTTAAAAAGAAAGGGTCTTAATCGGTCCATTTTTCATTATCAGTCCATTATTTACTGCATAAACGCCGCTTTTACTCGTGCGGAAGCCAATGATTCCAGAAGATTATCTAACAGGTATATTTAAAATTCCTTGTGTACCGGTAATAGGTTTCTAATTCTCTTCCTTATTTGAAATCTCGTCTGGAAGACTTCTTCTCCTTCTTCAAAGCTTAATCCACTGCAAAGATGGACTTTTGGCTAAGGTTACAGTCAATTCGGTAATGTTTATGTACGATATATAAACACATTTAGGAATCATTTTTTTCCAATAGCTTGTGTCAACGTTACAGAATTTCTATGATAAGTGACTCCTCAGCTTGGAAGCTATATATCTGTTATTTTTAGACATTAGAACCATAAAAACTAGCGTCGGCGGTCCCATTTTCAAATTGAAAATGAGTGAATAACCATCAATTCATAACCAAAAATTGCATACATTAACGTAAGAGGTCACGTACTTCAGAGCGACGTGATCACAAATCTTTTATGGAGGCCAAAAAAAATTTTTTCACACAAACGTAGTGTTAAGTTAGGTCTTTCCTGTAATGGTATATTTTTCGGCATACAATGTTGCCCATCGGAGATATTTGCAATAAAAACCCTAATGTTTTCTTTTTCGGAAGAGTTGTGTGACACAGTTAACGATTAAGTGCTCTAAATCAGAAGTTTTATCAAATTACCCTAACTTAAGGAATTGTTTTCTTGAGGTTCAAACAACCATCGGACACAGTAAGATTAAAATCTCTTACATTCTGTAAGTGTGAGAGAGATTCGTTTGAAGTGCATTTTTCTATCTAATTTTAGCCTTTTACTCCAGGGATTTAATGTGGAGGCACTAATGCCCTTAGGATTCTTGAATAACTTAGTAACCCTCATAAACTGTGAAAGTTTGAAAGAAATGGGTGGGATGGTATGTGTCACGCCTTCCCGGTCCTCTCGTGGACACACTCTTAAAGAACATTTCGTAACAAAAAGACAGCATTGTTTTATCGTCTCTTTGTAATAATGATTTCGTAGGCTTAGGCAAGCCTAAAACTTAGCCCCAATTAGTCAAACTGTGGAGCTCGTTTGATTTTTAAACGTTTATCTACTAATCAAATCAACCGACCTATCTATGAAAATTCTCAATCGGTCAGTCACAACAGGGATACAGGATTTCCCCCTCAGCATTTCCCTTCGTCTGAGCGAGGAGAATATTGCAATTATCCGCGTCGTAAAGGAAATTTTTCCTTCCTTTAGCCATAATTTCTCGCAGTTTCCTTCACAAGTCTATTGGTATTACAAGACGATAACCCCTTGGCACTACCATTCTTCTATAGAAAATAAATTTACGAACGTACTAACTATGGTCTAAATACCTTTATCGTGTCACAGTTCGATTAGTTGGTGGAAGTAACCCATCTGAAGGGAGAGTCGAAGTATTTCACGGTAGTTCCTGGGGAACTGTATGTGATGAACATTGGACAATTAAGGAAGCCAACGTGGTTTGCCGACAGTTGGGTTTCGCGGGTGGAGCTTTGTCCGCGATCACTTCTGCAGGTTTTGGTCCAGGAAGTGGAAAAATATTGATGGATAACGTTGATTGTCATGGAAATGAAAGAAGATTAAAACTGTGCAATCATGTTGGTTGGGGACAACATGATTGTAACCATGGTGAAAATGCAGGCGTTTTATGTATCCCAGGTAACTGGAAAATACCCTTTACAATGTAATTCATTGTTTTTAAAATGTTATAACATTGCGCGCGTGCTGGCCCTTTGTAAGCCCTATTGAGCCGCTACGAACAAAATATTTATTTACACACACCCGTGCGTAAATAAGATGACGTGAGCATTTTTTTCACCTGGCTTTAGAGTTTCCGTCCTGTTAAGCTGCCGTGCAGTTTTCCTTCTCTTTGAAATATGGAAGAAACCAGCGAAGAACTGCTCAATTTTTCTATCGGCATTGACCTTTTAGGTCTTGATCCAACAAGCACCAAAAATAAAGCCGAAAAAACTCGCAAGTTGCATGTTTCGCAAATTTGTCGGAAGACCAGCTGCAGCAAATTTTGGCCGAAAGACATTCACTAGGAATAAAAAAATTCACCAACTGGTCATTAACAACATTTAAAGGTAAAATTTCCGCATTTTATTGTTGTTTTTAAATTTGTTCAACCTGGGGAATAAAGTACACAGTTGTTAATTGGAAATTTACCAAAACCAAAACAATCAAAGCCGCAAAAAATCTAAATCTAAAACCCTTTTCCCCTTAAACTTTGAGCTTTTCATTCACAGTTATCGGTTAACTGGATCAAATGTTCTCGCTCAAACCAAAGTATAAAATGTGGCGTGTTTTTGACCAGCCAATAGGGACGATTGTTTACTTTTTTGAGCGTTGTGAGAATTTTGCACTCTATGACAATAAAAGGCTTCTTGGCGAAGATCCTTCTTGTCGCTCTGTTATAAAAGAATTTGCTCATGCTTTTAGCTGTGCGTATATCGAGTTAAGGATGCACTTGGGAAGTTTGGAAAGCACTCAAAAAGCTAGAGTTGCTATCAGCTGCGCCTCGAGCTACTCTTAGGAATTTATCGTGCTCTCCAAACCTCCTGTGTGCATCCATAACTCGATATACGCACGCTAAGCATGAACAAATTCTTAATTAACATTGCAATATTGTTAACTTTCTTTTCCTTTTCTGATAACTGAAAGAGCATTGAGTTGTTTCAGTCGTTCGTCCTAAATCTAGCGCATAAAACCCTTATATACCAGGGTATAGTAAGTATAGTATGTATGTATAATCTTTATTTAAGCACGAAACAATTCATCAGCAATTACATTAACTAAAACTATTTAAAAATTAGAACACTAACTAATATTTAAAAGCTGTTTTCCGTGAATGGCGTGCGTTATAGAGTGGCATTGATCTTGCGTTTAAATAACCCCAGAGACTCTGTGTTCCTTATATCACATGGAAGACTATTCCATAATGTGGCTCCACTATAGCTAAAGCTTTTTCGATAATAGTTAGTGCGAGGTAGAGGAACATTGAGTTTATTTTCAGAGTCCCTGAGGTCATAAGCAGAGTTACGCCATTTAAACTTAGAATTAAGATATTCAGGAGCTAGCCCGTGCAGACATTTGAAAACCATGGTAACTCTATGAATTTCCTGCTGGCTTGTCAGATTTTTCCAACTTAAAAATTCAAGTAGCTTAGTTGCATCGGCATCATAGCTGGAAAATGTCAAAACACGGGCTGCTCTAATCTGTAATTTCTGCAGCTTATCTCGTAGCGTTATCCCACAGCTACCCCAGACAATGTCACAGTAATCAAAGTGAGGTTTTACTAAAGCTTGGTAAAGCAGATGTAAGGTCGATGCTGGGATCAGATGCCTGACTCGCTTTAGGCACCCGATACCAGAGGCAATCTTTTTTGTTAATTTTTCGATGTGACTATGCCAATCGAGCCTATCGTCTATAATCACACCAAGCGATTTTGTAGAAGTAACCTGGCTCACCTGAGTGCTGTTCATTCTAATTGTTGGTGAAGCTGTGAGAGTACCCAGTCTCTGCCTTGACCCTATTAGCATGAATTCGGTTTTTGTCATATTCAGTGTGAGTTTATTCGCTTGTAGCCAGTTGAAAACGTTTGTTAAGTCCTCATTCAGACAAAGCTGTATACTCTCAAGATCACCGCCCGCATATGTAAGGTGTGTGTCGTCAGCATACATCCTCGGCTCACAATTTGATAAACAATTTGGAAGATTGGAGGGTCTATGTGTTTAATTCTTAGGCAAAACACTTTACTCTCCCCATGCCTCTCTCCTCCCAAGAGTTTAAATGGGTACTGGTAAATTGTCAGGGAAGCCTGATGAAATATTGGGGCGTAATATTGTTGCGATGGATTGATATCCCATCTGAGAAGGAGTGATTATACTCCTAGTTTCTTCTTGTTAAGGAAGCCGGGATAAACTCTGGCTGGGTGGTCCACTTGTCTCGAGTATAGACTTGACCTTTCTTCTCTAACCTATAGCAACTGAAGTCACAAACTGATCAATGATAGTCAATTACCTTCTTTCGTGACAGTTCGATTAACTGGTGGAGCAAACCTATATGAAGGGGCGGGTTGAAGTGTTTCATCGAGATTCCTGGGGAACAGTGTGTGATGCCCATTGGACACTTAAAGAAGCCAACGTGGTTTGTCGCCAACTAGGATTCGAGGCTGGAGCTTCCGCGGCGGTCAGGTCTGCAGGTTTTGGTGAAGGAATTGGAAATATATGGATGGATGAGGTAAACTGTGTTGGACATGAACGGCGACTAATGGATTGTAATCATCTCGGATTGGGAAAACACAACTGTGACCATAGCAAAGATGCAGGTGTTATATGTATTCCAGGTAATAACAAAATGCCTTGTACTATAGAATTCTGTGGGCTTCTCCTAGTACTTCCTTTAACTTCGATAAGACTACCTAATAAGGATACATAGATTCAAGCTAGCTTTAAAACTGAAGCCCAGTTAATAAATTCTTAATTACTGACGGGAAAGTTAAGGTTAGGTTCAAGGCTCGATGGTTTTTTCATGCTTGTATGCAGTTGCCCTCTGTAAGAAATTCTGCAGAGGTTTGTTAAGTAAGGCTTCTTTCTAACATTTGACTGCATTCATTCGTCATTTCACAGTTCGATTGGTTATTGGCAGACAAATCGCAAGGTTCAAGGGCGGGTGGAGGTGTTTCACAATGGCACCTGGGGAACAGTTTGTAATGACGACTGGGACATAAAGGATGCCAACGTAGTTTGCAGCCAACTTGGATTCGTGGAAGCTGTACAAACTCCGATTCCCTACGTATACGGTACAGGATCTGGGCAAATATGGTTGGACAATGTAAACTGTGTGGGAAACGAGAGTTCACTAGCAGAGTGTGATCATAACCAGTGGGGAACACATGACTGCTCTCACTCTCAGGATGCAAATGTAGTTTGTGTTCCAGGTAATACCAGCAGTCTCGATGCTGTTTAAATGGAATCATTCGTCATTTCACAGTTCGATTGGTTATTGGTAGACAAATCACAAAGTTGCAAGAGCGGATGGAGGTGTCTCACAATGGAATCTGGCGAACATCTCCAAAATCTCGTTCGAAAATCTCGATTCAGCTCACATTCACACAATGTGTCTGTTTAAGTTGCCAGCTCCAGTGTTTAAAACACTTTTTGTACTAGAAGAAAAGGTAAAATACCAAGTATTCCAGTGCTCGTAGATTAGACAAAATAAGCTAAGTCTGCGTCGATTTGAAACTGGATATCCCAGGATTATGGGCGAGCGTGGTAAATCGTGATGGACGTGACAAAACTACCTCCATTGTTAAGTAGCTTCCATTTACGTATATATTTCAACTTTTCCATTTTTTGGTAATTATTTCTTCCTTGCGGGTTTTCATAATGCCTGGCTTACTTTCATTTTGAAAAATAGAATGACAATGGTGTAATATGAACTTAACTTCACATAGGTTTTAACATTTGTGCGTTTTTTTAATTCCAAAGATCCTCACTATTCGCCTCCTACTTCTCCTAAACCTAAAGGTATGTACTTTATTTTTATTGCGAAAAAGTACCTGCGAACAAATTGTGGCGAAAATGCTTTCTCTGAAGGACAAGTTTGCGTTCCAGGTAATAACGGCAGTCTCAAAATCTCGTTTCAGCCCACATTCACACTATGTGTGTTTAAGTTGCCTGCTTCAGTGTTTAAAACACTTTTTGTACATGATCAGAAGGTAAAATGCTAAGTATTTCAGAGCTCGTAGATTAGGGAAAATATTGGCGCTTCAAAAAAGTATCATCTTTATCCGAATTCGGAAGCCGCTATTTTTGTACCTTGCTAAATTACCAGGCCGCTTGATTATTGGGCCACAGCTTCACTTCTATTTTTTTCAATTTCTTGGCGATCTACTCGAATCGTTAGAAGTGACACAAAAGGAATTTTTTGTCTCAAATGGTTACCTGGAGAAGCATGTCTTTGTGAACTTTCAATTGAACAACGACCATTCAAATGGGATGGATGAAAATGGCTGAATAATCTTAGGCACAAAGAAAATGACAACCACAAGTGTATATATATAAGTGTATATGTAATATATAAATTTAGCTGAGCCTAAAAGCGGAGCTCGCATTTTTTTTTTCCCGCACGTCTTAAGGGCACAACGCCTTGCTCCGGCCAGGACTAGAACCCGGGTCGTCCGACTCGGAGCTCAGAGCACTGACCACTAGACTACTGGACAAAGCCGTGGTGTTGGTGTGCCCGCGGTACAATTGACCACGCATGTTAAAAGTAGCATCTTGTACGGTCGATCGTACGGTCGTACGGTCGTAAGTCCAAATTTTTTCGGCTTGATGGGTTACTACTATTTTGTATAATTATGGGGCTACGCTGCGCGCGCTGCGAGCTCCGCTTTAAACCAAAATCATCAAGTGGGAGGCAAGACCGTGGTGGTCCCCCCTGGTGCGGCCCGCGGGTTGGAAAGGGTGGGTAAAAACAAAGGCGAGTTATCAGGTCCAAGGCGAGCTAACAGTGATGCAGTCGATAACAAAACCAGCGTCCATGATAGAGGCACAGTTAATGTATAACTAACGGATGCTACTTCTTATATTGCCATTGGACAGTATCCAATACCTCACATATAACTTCTTAGTTTCAGGTGAAAGAAATTCACAGCCTTTTGTCATTGCCATTATCACTTTGTCCCTCGTGTTAATCGTGGTAATTGGCCTCCTGAAGTGGCAACAGAGGCAAAAAGTACGCGCTGAGAGGAGAAATGTTGAAGCACGTCTGCAAAGACCTCGACATGCTGATACTGCAATTCGTTCTCCAGAGTACGCACAACCGACTGAACAACAAGAACACACATACGAGAAAGTAAGAAATGTGAGTGCCTTTTTTCGTTTAACTTTACAATGAATTTGCCAGTTTTGCTGATAACAGAGATGAAAATACGAGGCGTTGATGGCGTCTCACTTTCGCGTTCTGTTAACCAGTTTCAATTAAATTTCTGCGTCCGTTAACTCTTGTTCGCCTTCTTCCTTTTGCAGGTGTTTTCAGGAAAGAACACCAATCTTACATCCCAAAATGCTTAGTTGAAATCACTGAAGACATCTGATAGTTGCGCGTATATGACACTAACTGCTTGCTAACCGAGGGTGACGGCCGGGAATATTGGCCCAAGGTCGTTTTGATACGGGCAGATCGCAGCGAGGTCCGCACATAAACGACCCAGGGCCAATATTCCCCAGTACGGCCTGAGGAAGTGAGGTGTTTTTAATAATTAATTACATGGCACTCGGGCTAAACTTGTTTATTTCTAATTTGCCGACTAAAACTACACCACCGTTTCCGTGGAATCGGTCCGTATAGCAAATCCTTAACCAAGTATCAGAACCTTTACCTTAGCAACCCTTGAGAAATAACAAACACCCTTATATTTCTTATAAGTAAAGAGAAATTTTTTTGGTTATTTTTGTGTATCAGAGTAGACCAATAAGGAAGGTATAAATACATTATTAGATAATAAAATGAAGAAAGTCTTTGCTGAAACAGAGAACCAAGGGAAACTTAAATTACCTCTAGCGCTGGAAAACACGAGCGACGAATTTGCGATCGGTTTTGGATTTGCATCTGATTGATTGATCAGGTAGTGAGAGATTTTTTAGGCCAATGGTCGAGGATTTTGAAGGAAAACCGGAGTGGCCTTTGCAAAAACTGCTTTGTTTGCATGGTTACAAGTTTGTACAGTAATAGCACTGCAGCTGAGTCATTGAGATAATGTCCTGGGTGAAAAAAAAGAAAGGATTTGGATTAGGGAAATAAGCTTGTAGTCTTCAATTAAATTTAAGCTGCGAATAACGCAATTTTTGTTTGCAGTAATATTAAAGCCTCTAAGGAATATCTTAGATTTGGAAATAAAACGGCCATTTTTTTTATATTCATTGTATGCACGATCAACATATTTATACTTAAGTGTAATTTAAATACATGTAGAAAAAAACATAAAGAAATTGCTGACAAGAAGCCTGATCCCAGGCTTCGACAAGATTCAAACCCGCGCCTCCCAGAAGCTACTTCCACGCAATTTGACAACAAAGCTACCAAGGTACATGTTAGGAGCGAGACAGATTTCACGTACTACGTTCTTTGTGACAGGAAATGAGTCTGGTTTAATGAGATATAAACAATCCGATCTTGTAAGTGTTGATCCGCTTTAGTGACAGGAAATCCGATAATCTTAACTTTATCTTAACTCAGAGTAAGTCACTGGGCCTCCGAAATGGGAGCATAAAAACTTATATTAGAACAGAATGAAAACAAGTGAGTGCATGAAGTTCAGAGATTCAGAAAGATATCATAAATATGGGGATATCATAAAGTTCATAAAGGTAACGTAATGGTTAAGAAAATCGACAGAGGTCTTTGTTAAGGATTTTTTTTCCGTTTTTCGGACGCACAATGCGCTAATACATTTTAATCTTGTTGGGCTGACTAGCAGATGAAAACATTCTATCAATAAATTCAGTCCAATATGTGCATACTTAAAACTGTACGACTGATTGCTTTAGGCCCTTTTTGGGCGGTGGATGGTCATCCACTGATCGAATCGACCGATTCATTCAAGGATACCATGCGCGCGCATGAAGAGTTGGGAGGATTTATCAATATGTTGAGGCGCTCTCGAAAAAACAGTTCTTACACTCGCGTTTATTGAGAAGAACTATCCATCGTCATATCCAAAGCGCACTCAAGGAGTAGTTCTTGAATAAAGTAAGTTTTAGGTAAAACTTGTCAATGACTGAGAATTCCTACTGTTGAGTGGCAATGCCCTCCATGATCGACTTAGTAATAGACTTAAGCACCTACCACTAGCAGTCTGCCCAAAAGATCTCAGCGTGAGTCCAGATTAAATAATGTAAAGAAGTTTTGTGGTCTGTTCCTTGTCCGCATCACAGAGTTGTATATTATTAGAGTCCTTCATATATGGATGAAATAAGTCAGAAATTTTTCCGGGGCATAGGGAACTCCTCGCAAAAGATTGGTGTCCGTAAAGAGAGATCTCCCTTGCGAAGTTTCCTCTGGATGTCACGCAACGTTCTCTAAAGAGCGTTGCGTGATTTCGTATTGTCAGTGACCTCCTCGCCCCAATTTCCCTAGCACCCCTCGGACGATTGAGCAGGTCACCATCTTGCACACTGTGAAATTTTCTTATCTTGGCGAAATGGAAGGCTCTCTGTACCTAGCGTTTTCTGCACTTTTGGTGTCGGTCATTGTCTGGCTTCTTAATCCTTTTCATAAACTTCACAAGTTCTTGAATTATTCCTTAAGAAGAGACGGTGGCATGCGAACTGATCTTCAGGATGGGGTTCGCTCGTTCAACAATATGCCTGGCCCAAAGGGATGGCCTATCTTAGGCGATATGCTGAACTTTCTACGAAAATCTGAGTTCAAAGAAATTATAGCGGAGCTGAAGGACTCGTTTGATAAGTACGGTCCTGTTTTTAAGAGGAATTTTATGGGAACATCAGTGGTTTATGTCAAAGACCCAAAGGATATCGAAGTCGTCATCAAAGCAGATGGAAAACATCCCATGCAACCTCCCTCAGCTGTAAGCACGGCGATTAATAAGTACAGGAAAAGCAGAAAACTCCCTAAAGTCCTTTTTGGATTGTAAGTATTGAGAAATTTGGGAATCAACCAATGAAAAATATAGGTGGCAGAATTGGGGGGGTTGTGGGGGCAGCCTCCTTCCCCCCCCCCCCTCCAGGAAAAATTTGGGGACTCTGTACACCTGGCTGGATTGCTGGATTTTTCCACTAGACTTAAGTGAGGTTGATTAAATTTTGTATTGATGTAATAACATGTTAGGAATGGAAACAGACAGTCTTTATGAGAACTCAACCGTTTTTTTTTTTTTCATCAAATAGAGTAAGCTCTTTTTTGTTTATTTTCTACAAATTTCATAGCGGTGAGATGTATTTTGGCTCAAAAAAAAAACAAAAAAAAAAAGGTGAAAAGGAAGTTACGACTGGGAATGTGGCGGACAACTGGAAAGTATGGAAACAAATGTCGGGCAACTACATGGTCATTGCTCAACTCGAGCTGAAACCGCCGGCGTACAAAGTCGCATTGTTTCTCCACTGTATCGGTGTTGATGCGTTAAAGATTTTTAACGGCTTCCAATTCGACACTCCAGACGATAGACATGACCTGGCAAAGATAATACAAAAGTTTGACGAATTCACCATCGGCGAACTGAACGAAACCTTTGAAAGGTACACTTTCAACTGCAGAACTCAACAGGAAAACGAAAGCATTGATGCTTATGTCACCGCCCTTCGCACACTAGCGAAAACATGCAATTTTTGTGACTGCATGCGTGATTCGATCATTCGCGACAGGATCGTCCTGGGCATTCAAGATCACCGCACTCGCAAACGGCTTCTACAAGAACGGAGTCTCACCCTGGCGAAGTGTATCGATCTTTGCAAGAGTTCTGAGGCAACAAATTTGCAATTGAAAACGATCTCGGGCGCCCAGAACGAAGATGTTCACGCTGTGCAAGATAAACACCCGCTCTCCAGCCGCCGTGATGACAAGTCTAGGAAAAGCCGCGCGGGGAAGGGGAAGACCTGTAAATTTTGTGGCAAAGCACACCCTTTCGAAAAAGGAAAGTGTCCAGCGTGGGGCGCGAAATGTACGAAGTGCGGTGGCAGAAATCACTTCGCAACAACCTGCACTACTCCGACCAGAAAAGTGTACAACTTGAGAGATGAATCCTCCGATGACAGCGACATGGAGTACATTACAAGCATTGTTGCACGACCGGACATGATACACGCTGTTACACAAGAACATGATTACCCAAGAGTAATCTACACTGAGATGCTTGTGGGCAAGGCAGAAGTGAAATTTCAAGTAGACAGCGGCGCCTCGGTGAATGTCATTTCCGCCGATCTTGTGGCTGATAAGAAGCTTGAGCCCACCACAAAGACACTACAAATGTGGAACGACACAACACTAAAGCCACTGGGTTCCTGTCGATTAATTCTCCACAATCCAAAGAATAAGAAGAAGTTCTCGGTGGAATTCCTTGTCGTTGATAGACAACTGACCCCACTCATTGGAGCAAAGGCAGCTCAACAGATGGGCCTAATTACTGTCAACACGCAAAACTTCACGATCGCAAAACCACCTGAACGATCAAGGGCAAAGGTTAAGAGCGTGCAGACGGCTGACGAAATAGTAGCGGCCTACCCAGAGGTGTTCCAAAGAGAGCTAGGAGCACTACCAGGAACAGTTCACCTTGAAGTCGAACAAGGCGCAACTCCCGTCGTCGCACCTCCACGCCGTGTCCCGTGTCTCACTCAAAGAGAAACTGAGGAAAGAACTGGATCGACTACAGCAATTGGAGGTCATAGCTCCAATCGATGAACCCACTCCATGGGTTAGCAGTCTTGCCGTGGCTGTGAAGAAATCTGGAGCGCTGAGAATCTGTATCGACCCCAGGCCACTTAACACTGCCCGGAAGAGAGAAAGATATCAACTTCCTGTAATTGAGGACATACTCCCGGAGCTCTCAAAAGCAAAAGTATTCTCGACAGTTGACCTTAAGTCGGGATACTGGCACTGTGTCCTTGCCCCTGAGTCCAGCGTACTCACGACCTTCGCAACACCCTACGGAAGGTACAGATGGATTCGTTTGCCCTTCGGTCTCTCCGCCTCGTCCGAGATTTTCCAGAAGCACTTAACTCACTTACTGGAAAGCTTACCTGGTATTCTGTGCATCGCGGACGACATCCTCATTTATGGCACTGGAGAGACCGACGAAGAAGCCACTGCAAACCACGACAAGAGTCTCCGAGATCTCCTACAAAGGTGCAAGAACCGCGGCATTGTCCTTAACCCAGACAAGATGAAGCTGAGGGTGAGCGGGGTAAATTTCATGGGGCATCTCCTGACGAACAAGGGCCTGAAGCCTGATCCTGCCAAAGTAGAGGCGATCACAAAATTGCCGAAGCCACAAGATGTGGAGGGCGTTCAGCGCCTCAACGGATTTGTCAATTATCTAGCCAAGTTCCTTCCGAAACTGTCTGAAGTCATGGAACCGATTCGTCGCCTGACTCGGAAGGACGCTCCATGGAACTGGTCTTCGGAACAAGACCAGGCGTTTGAAAACGTGCAGAGGCTAGTAACAGAAGCGCCTGTTCTACGTTACTACGACCCTTCCCTAGACCTCACCATACAATGTGATGCGAGCCAGAGTGGCCTTGGTGCAGCATTACTTCAGAACGGCAAGCCTATAGAGTACGCGAGTCGCTCCCTTACCGACACAGAAACCCGGTATGCTCAAATAGAGAAAGAGATGCTGGCGATTGTCTTCTCTCTTGAGCGTTTCAACCAGTATACATTTGGTCGACATGTACACATCGAAAGTGATCACAAGCCACTGGAGATGATTCTACAGAAACCACTCGCTCGAGCGCCTCGACGCCTCCAGATAATGATGATGAGGTTGCAGAAATACGATTTCATCGTGCACTTTGAGCGTGGCGAGAACATGCATTTGGCTGACATGCTGTCGAGGGCTTACCTGCCCTACAACGGAAAAGAAGTAGATGACTTCGAATCAGTCAACATGGTCCGTTATCTACCCATATCTGACCAACGTTTAGACGAAATAAGAGCAGAGACTCGGAAGGACCAGTGTCTGCGAGAGCTGTCAGATACTATTCTCGTAGGATGGCCTGAGAAGAAGGAGCATGCTCCAGCACTGATACACCCTTACTTCAGTATGCGTGACGAACTGACCGTACAAGATGGGCTGATTTTCAAAGGAAATTCCGTTGTGATACCAAAGAGCCTTCGCGCAGATATGAAGCTGAAGATTCACTCGTCCCACCTTGGAATAGAGGCGTGTCTGAGGCGTGCCCGTGAATGTATCTACTGGCCAGGCATGTCTGCGGAAATGATGCACCACATCTCCGCCTGTGAAATATGTAGAGAACTCGACAGCACCACGCACCCAAAGGAGACACTAATGTCCCACGAGGTCCCATCCCGTCCTTGGGAGAAGATCGCCACAGACATCTTTACTCTTGATGGCAAAGACTACCTGGTCACCATCGACTACTATAGCAATTTCTGGGAGGTGGACAGGTTGCCGAACACTAAAGCCAGCACCACCATTCTGAAGCTAAAGAGTCACTTTGCTCGCTACGGTATACCTGATCAAGTGATCAGTGACAATGGGCCACAGTTTACAAGTGACGAATTCGCTGAATTCTCCAGAAAATGGGATTTTGAGCACCTTACCAGTAGCCCTGGAAATAGCAAAGCCAATGGCAAGGCTGAGTCTGGGGTGAAGACAGTCAAGCGCATTCTGAAGAAATCAATCAGGGCTGGAACCGACCCATACCTCGCCGTACTCGACTATAGAAACACGCCGACACAAGGGACAACGACCAGCCCAGCACAACGCCTGATGAGCCGAAGGACCAAAACACTCCTTCCTACCACTCAAAGCCTACTATTACCCAGGACCATAAACCTGGAAGTGGAAAAGAAAGAGCTGCGACAGCGCCAGCAGGCCCAAGCCAAGTACTACAACCGGTCCGCAAAGGATTTACCCAATTTGTCTGAGGGCGATGTTGTTAGAATGAAGCCATTCAAACTTGGAGATAAGTCTTGGTGCAAGGCCAAAGTCACTGCAAGACTCGACGAGCGATCATACACCGTTGAGACGGACAACGGAGCAGTCTACCGCAGAAACCGACAGCACCTGCGGAAAACGTCTGAACCACCAGTTGAACCCACCATCACAGCGCCAGAACTGGATATGGCCAGCGCAGATGAACAGGCGACCACAACCACAGCGTCTACCCCTGACCAGAGCAATGCTCCTCATGAGCCACACCCTGAAGAGGTGACTGTCCCGGAACAATGTCGGAGGTCAGAGCGTGTCAGGAGGAGCCCAGCATACCTCAAGGACTATATCCGTGACTAGACTCGTGACTTTAAATCCTTCTTCGCGGTTATCATAGGGTTCAGTGTTCTCGTTTACCGATGCTCTCATGTCGAACTCACCAGCTGATAGATTTTGTCCTATGGCATTGATTCTGAACTGAACTGACATTGACACTTTTATTGGTTAATTTTCTTTTTTTTTTCTTTCTTTCTTTTTCTCTTTTTCCAAGCTATTCTTCACAACAACAAAAAAAAAAAAAAAAAGGGAGGATGTTACAATATGTACGTGATTACATGCGCCATCAATGTCTAACTAGACTGAGATCGAGTTACATCTGTATTGTCTTACAACGCTGTATGCTACTGAATGGTTGATAAAAACGGATCTTGAAACACTAGTCATTCTTATAAGTTAGAGTCTTAAGCTTTTACACCACAATGTCAGTATGTATATTCCCCATACTATTATATACACATTTGCTAAGGTGTTGACAAGGAGAATTTGCTCTATAATCAAGAGCCTCTTTAGTTGGTGATCATTTCTTTTATTCTTGTGACCTAATTGTGTGCTTTAGGGATGACTTTGTGTGTAGAAATTAGCTAGGGTTTTAAAATGCTTTGAAGTAGGAGTCAAACTTGGCAAAAGTGGTTGACTGTGAAAAGTTTATTTAAGGCCAAAAGGTAATTATTTTGATTAGAGTAACCGGCAACATGATGTCAAGATGAACATGAACTCCAGCAGTCACCAGCTTGTTTTGAAATCCCTGAATTAGATGTTAGTCACTCTTAAGGTCATAGGGTTAAGAAAGAGAGCTTGTAAAAGTCTTTGAGAGTGTAAGGTATGTGTAACAGTAATTAACAGGTTATAGATACTAAAGAGTGTAACAATCTAAGAGACAAAGAGATCTTGATCGTGTGGTAATTAAGAATGAGTCTTATATAAGATATCATGACAATTTCATGTATGATATACTTGAGCTCTTGGGGAAATAATGGTGAATTAAGGAACAATTTACCTCAAGTGTTGACCTAAGTGGTAGCATAAATGAAATTTGTAATTTATGGTTGAGGTGAATCAAAATGAAAAACAGGGCTAGATCTTGATCAATTAGTAATGCAAACACATTTTTAATCACATTGGTTAATAATTGTTCACCAAAGTAGAGATAAATATCCACCACTTTCAACAGCACTGAGGTGAATAATTTTTTAATTATATACCACATAGATACCTCAAAATTAGTTTATTTCTCTTAATATACCAAAAAATGGTTGGAAATTGAACTCTTGATTATATTCATCCCTGGCTGCTCCAGGGGTTAATAATACTGGCTATTCACTTCCAAACTAGCCAATTAGCACTTGGGAAACCGTGACTATAGTCTACTTGTGTGGTATATACTAACAATCAGTATCCACAGGGACAAAATAATATATATATTTTTGCTTTTATCATGAAATTTGTTAATATTGTAATATTTAACCCACCAGTATTTAACTTCTGGGGACACCAATAAGGTGAAAATATGTAAAATAACATAAAATGTGAATATCTTAGTCTACATGCTGTGTGATGTTATACCACTATCTGTATAAAGTATATACAGACTAGGTTAGTGCCTGAAAATCCCACAGTTTATAGACTATGATAATCACATATACAATAAGAGAAGAGAATACATTTTACATATTAAGCTGTTATCCTCAACTACCAACCAATAAGAAGTTTCTCTATACAAGACCTGTTAATTATCAAACAGAGATAATGAGAAGGAATGGAAAGAACAATCTAGGGAATATCACTTGATTTTATACTAAATTCTCACAGCTAAAATCTCAAGAAATGCACGAGATTCAGTGAGGAAAACAGAGGTATTGAGAGTAATAGGGAAAACTCACTTGCAGAAAGCCCACATGTGGTCTTTACTGATGTTTGGTTCATTTTGTTGTAAAAAGTAACCATATTTTAAGGACTGTAAAAAAAAAAACAAGTATTACCAGTAAAGAGAAATGATGGTAAAATAGGAGGGCAAGATGACCCTTGTAGGTGAGGAGCGAGGTGATATTAGTCGAGATCCTTCACCCTTTCACTCCCAGAAGTGATTAACATGCAAAATCTCCCTCTAGTATTCATACGTTATCCAGCAAACAGGTGAAGAGAATATTCAAACTCATCAGGTTGAAGTTGTTATCTCGTTTCAACACCAAATTCTCTCAACTTATTTACAGGGAAATATATAGCAGCTAAAAGAGAGAATTAACAATCAGATCTTGGGAGTGAAAGGGTTAAAGCAAACAACCCTTGATTGCGGTTAAAATTTGACAAAGTCTTTAACTGTTTAACTAATTTTCAAACTATTCTTGAGCGACCTTCCCGATTTTCTGATGTCCAAGCTTCTTATCGAAGATTTCTTGATTGGCGGACAGTTTTAGATGACCTGGCAAGATCTAAAAATAATCCAATTTTCTACTCTCCTTTATCAAATTTGACAATAATATGTGGTCTCGTGTTTCCCTATAGGGACGGTGAGGAATGGAACCGAGTACGAAAGGCTTTAGCGTCAAAAATGCTTCGACCGAAAGATATCAGAGACAACCTGGAAATCTTTAATGGAGTGACAAGAGATGCTATAGAACATATGCTTTCAGTGCGGGGTGCAGATGATGTCATTCCAAATCTCGAGGAGGAACTTGGAAAGTGGGCGACGGAATGTACGTAAATATTTCACGAAAGTGTGAGTAGATCCATTAAGGCTGTGATCCCAGTGAATGGGGTGTATCACTGATGCAAGTTGCTCTGTAGGTAGAGCCTCTCCCAGCAGGTATCTCCAAGGGACCCTAGGGAAATGGTATAAATACCAATGGGAGAAACCAAAACCCTTGGAGAGGGAGCAAATTACAGCACGTCTAAAACGTGTTTCTTCCTCCACTGATCTGGAGGCAGGAAAACCAAAGGCTGAGCATATTACATGCGCAATCTGTAGATCCCGCCAGGGGTTTGGATTCTACGCTGACCGTGAGCAGAATTTGTTTAGAGGTAGTCCTGGGTACTACTCCACAGTTGTAAGTAATTAATAAAGGGAATGAGTTTTCAACGAAACTGTTGTGCTGCGTCAGTGAGAGAATATAACAGGGTAATGAAATATTCTCAACTGAGTTGCTGGCATGAATTGGCCACCGTCAAGAGTATCAAAGGTGACGTTTCTAGTTCTAGCCCTTTGTCATTTGCTCTGACTCAGGACGAAATCCAGTGATCAAGCTCAACCATATTCACCATCAATGCTGGGGAATTCTACAACACGACGGATCAGGGGTTCAGTTCCAAATTGGTGCACAGACGAACACTCTGTGCAGAAACAACTGGGTTCACTCGAGTCCTAAGTATGGTCTCCGTTTCGATGGGCAGCCGCCGCGTGTGGGACGCGGCGGTACAATGAAGGAAAACGTTGTTTGGAGAAGCGGCGGGATCATGATCAAAGGCGAATCCCACACAGTGCTAAACAACCTCGCCTTCGACAAACGAAATGATAAAAGCGGTGACCAACAAGGCGCAGGCTGCTCTTTATGTGTTTTGAAGTTCGTTCGTTGGAATCCAGTTGAGATCAATAAACAAACAGAAGTTTTGCGCAACGCAGCAGATGTGGCAAATGGTGGCAAGCGCAAGAAGCCCCGTGGCACATATCCTCTTGCAGGAAGCCGTGTTGCATTCAACATTGTAAGTAACGTGAGGGAACAGTTTGAAGACCCGGATAACATGGACTTTCGGCCTCGTAAAGACTCCAAATACAGTAAAGATGGCGTTGGACCTTACCGTTATGATCCAAATGGTAGATTCTATTGGATTCCTGGACGGCAGCTCTATAAGACCAGCACTCCTGTGCCTCCTGATGGCAGCAAATCGGTGAAGGTATGAAATTAAAAAGATAGTTATACGAAAATGTGACACCGAGTCAATAATTACGGCGACACATATTTCTTTCGTTTTTTTGAGAAAAACATTCTTTTTTTAAACAAACAAACCACAGAAACTAGGAATTTTGTTGAGAGTTGGGAGTCGGAGATTGTATTCATTTCCAACTTCATAGAGCACGTCGTAAAATAGAATGAATGAAAAAATCGTTTGCCATTTACTTCAAAACCAAAATGGGTAAGACTTAAAAGAAGGAGAGAAGATTGTTTAATCTGGTCACCACTACGAAATGCAGACTGAATTTGAAGATGGAAAAATCACATCTTTTTAATTTCCCAAAGCCGAGGAAACCTTTGCAAGACTTATCGAGGTACTGATTCTATTATTGTTAGATAGCTACATTTAATACACGTCTCCCTGGCTCTGTTATTCTATTTCGTGGAGACTCTCTGAAGTCATGCATACTTCTTTGACCTATCAATTTTTTTTAAAGTCTGTCAGAGATGCTGTAATGTGGTTAAACGCATTTGGTGCCTCAACTCACAATGTATACTTTGGAACAGACAAGTCGAACGTTACCGATGCATCACGGAACTCCGCCGAATACAAGGCGAAGATTACTGCTGATGGCAACGTATATTACTTGAAGGAAAACCTTTCTTCCAGGTCTACCTATTACTGGCGAGTAGATGCTGAATTGGACGAGAAAACTATTTACAAGGGAGACGTTTGGTCTTTTCAAACCAAGTACACCAAGGTGATGATGAAAAATGCGAAGAAGAGAAAAAATGGTAGCTAGATGGTTCACTGTTCTTAAAGTATGCAGAAATAAACTTCAACCTGTTGATTACAGATTGAATAAAATATCGCCAATAAAGCATCATGATCAAGTCTACTTTGTGTTCCGTGGTTTATGCCAGGCAATTTACCCATTAAGGCCAAATTTGTTAGCGTAATGATCAGGTCTCATTTTCTTTTCAGTATTTGATTAAGGAACAAGTTGTTCCAAGCTCATGCTTTTTCATCTCTAAATTATGGAACCATCATGCATTGCTAACATTGCAAGAGCGAGATAGAGTCTCCTTGCATATTTATCAGGTTAGTGATCAGAGTCACTCACGAAAGTGAGGTAATGAAGAATATGCAAAGCTTGATATGCATAAAGCTTGATCTTGTTCTCTTATGGAGTCTACTAAATTTTACAAGGTTTTTTTGAACGTATATGGCTCTACACTTGCTTCAGTCTGGAATCCATAAATGCGCTACGCATGCTCATAAAATTCTTCTCAACACCCAACTCATGTCACACAGTGTCACGCAAGTGAGATGAAGCATATTTGTTAGAATTCGAAGTGCCTAAATTTTTCGACAGAAAGGTCGTGTTACAGGGTTCAAAATAACAGCCAGCTGCCGGCGGCAGCCAGTGTCACGGCGGATATGGACCACCTTTGCAGATTTGGACCCCCCCTACCAAACTTTCCTTTTAAGCATCATTTGTATCAAATTTTGTACCAAATTCTAATTGCAAGCTTTTTGTCGATGTTCTTTTCAATCACAACACAACATTCCTCAATAAAGGTAAAGAAAAACAGCCATTTCGTTCCAATTCTGCCGCTTTTGTTATAGCTAGTCGTAGAGTATACGCAAGAATTAGATGCAAACAAATTACTGCATTCGAAGTATTGAAATTGTTACAATAAATCCTTTCTTCTTCT